TTAATTTTAGATTTCTCTTTTAATATCTAATATGGTAACTACAGCTTGCATAAAGAAAAGTTGTTCAAAGACCTTACTAACTGGTCTGAGGACAGAAAGTTTGAAAATTGCTAAAGGATATTACTGAGGTACCTGAGGTTCATCCAGAAAAATTATAAGAGAAGGATTTCAACAAGTATTACAGCTTGGGAGATAAAAGAAGTAGATACATGATAAGGACTAATTATGCAACTCCAGAAAGAAAAATTGAATATTTTTTAGAACGCATAAGGCAGCAGAGAAAATGAGAAAAATACAATTCACAGAATTATTTCTAATCTTGGCCATAAAAGAAGAACAGAACATTTTCAAAATGAAGTCAAATCATTTGCTCAGTGAAAGCACATTTTCTGGGCTATTTCTCTTTGTTGACAAATTTGCTCAGTGGCTGATTCATCCTGCAGAGGTACCCGGTCTCCAGTGAGCTTTTGTTAAGATAAAGTAAGTCACTTTTCTATTAGCAGAAGAGCCCTGGTGACACAGTGGTGAAGTGCTCAGCTGCTAACAGAAAGAGCAATGGTTCAAACCTACCAGTTCTCCACTGGAGAAAGAGGTGGCAGTCCGCTTCCACAACGACTGCAGCGGGGAGACCACCTGGGTCCTACAAGGACACGTCAGGACCGGCTCCATGGCAATCGATTGCTAGCAAAAGCTGGCTTATCACAGAAATATAAACAGTTATTGCTTTTTGAATGTCATAGTGACCTTCGGGAACTAAAAGAATCGCCCACCATAACAAAGAGCGAGAACAAAAGCACAAGAGTTGGTGAGAAAATGCATACAAAACATGTATCATCTAATCGCAGCTTTTTCCTCTTCATTCCTTACTGCCACAAGCAGACACGCAGCTTGTGACACAGAATTAATCAGAACAGTAAGTTCCTGAACATTAAGAAGTACACGTTCTATAACATCTACCTGTGTACCTAAGGTCACACAGTCATTAATCCACTTCCATATGCTTATGAAACACTTCCATTCAAGTAATTAATAAGCCATTTCTTATGCTAAACTTATTGTCACCTTCTAATCTCTCCATTTTCTTTTTTTTTAAATCATTTTATTAGGGGCTCATACAACTCTTATCACAATCCATACACACATCAATTGTGTAAAGCACATTTGTACATTCATTGCCCTCATCATTCTCAAAACATTTCCTCTCCACTTAAGCCCCCGGCATTAGGTCCTCATTTTTCCCCTCCCTCCCCGCTCCCCACTCCCTCATGAACCCTTGATAATTTATAAATTAATATTTTGTCATATCTTGCCCTGTCCAACGTCTCCCTTCACCCACTTTTCTGTTGTCCCTCCCCCAGGGAGGAGGTCACATATAGTTCCTTGTAATCGGTTCCCTCTTTCCTACCCACTCTCCCTCTACCCTCCCAGTATCGCCACTCACACCACTGGTCCTGTAGGGATCATCCGCCCTGGATTCCCTGGATTTCCAGTTCCTATCTGTACCAGTGTACAACCTCTGGTCTAGCCAGACTTGCAAGGTAGAATTCGGATCATTATAGTGGGGGCGGGGAGGAAGCATTTAGGAACTAGAGGAAAGTTGTATTTTTCATCGTTGCTACATTGCACCCTGACTGGCTCGTCTCCTCCCTGAGACCCCTCTGCAAGGGGATCTCCAGTGGCCTACTAATGGGCTTTGGGTCTCCACTCCGCACTCCCCCCCATCATTCACTATGGTAGGAATTTTTTGTTCTGATGATGCCTTATACCTGATCCCTTCAACACCTCGTGTTTGCATAGGCTGGTGTGCTTCTTCCATGTGGGCTTTGTTGCTTTTGAGCTTGATGGCCGCTTGATTACCTTCAAGCCTTTAAGACCCCAGACGCTATACTTTTTGATAGCCAGGCACCATCAGCTTCTCTCTCCCTTTTCAATCAATGGTAAAACCATTTCCCCATCTCAATATCAGAATTGGTCTTCATCTTATTTCTTGTCTTTATATCCAAATATTTATATCCAAATATTTCTCAGAAAATCTCTCTTGGATATACACCTTTCTCTCAATTCCTAGTGCTCAAACTGAACTAGGCCTTCTACATACTCATTTGCTTTTCTTGCCTGCCTGCCTTCCACCCACTGTTTTAATAAATACAGTCAAGTAAAATATTTTAAATAATATTTTCTAGTAGGTCAGTCATTCCGTAAGAACTTCCCAAGGCAACTTCTTACTACTTCCTGAAAATTCTTCTTGACTTAGATTAAGAAAGAAAAAAATTATATACTTCTAAGGATGAACTGAATTATAGCTCAGTAAAGCTGTCATAAAGAGAGAAAGCAAAGAGGAAGGAGAGGAGGGAGGGGAGAAATGCAAGGTATCGGGATGTGTCTAAAGGCTTTCTGCAAAGTACCACAGTAAGCCAAATCATGCCAGACACTGTCAACAGTTCAAAGACCTTAGAGGTAGCAAAAAGCATGTGAGCCTCCCAGCGGTCGTTTCTAATCATGGTGAAGGAGTCCTTGGTAAAACTGCTCTCCCATCAAATGTTAGGAAATGAATCTCTCCACGAATCAATATCTAGAATCCAGGTTCCCACACTTATTTGACCTACTGCCCCCCTTTTCAGGTAAGGGGGCTATTTACATTTTAAAATGTTATTGTAAACAGCAAGGGACAAGTTTTGACATGCTTCTTTCTTGGTTATACCTTTTAATAACTCTGTATGTTGAACTGAGTGGGAAGTTTAATTTTAATAATATTTTCAAACCTTCATTGGAATTTGGTGTGAGCAGAATACATCATGTTTAAAGTTAAGGCTGGCAAGTGAATTTAAAGTTTTGACTTGTGACTACTGTTCCTGAGTCCATATTATTTAAGATTTTGAATTTTGTGTTCTGATTTTTATTTCTTTAGAAATTAAGAGAATTTCAAGTACAAAAATACAACAACAAAAAAAAGTCTCGATCTTAAAAACCCAACCAAGCTGAAAGCTAAATTTTTCTTCTTCATCAAGCAAGCATACACTAAAATTTCCTTTCCCTCTATTTAAAAAGAAGAAAAAGCCTTCCCTGGTAAAATATTCCTTGTTCAATCTCTCCAACCACCAGTATCTGAAAGTCCAGGAACAATAGTAGCGTGAAGCATAAAAGCAGCTGGGTATTTCAGAAACAATCATCTAGAAAGACTTAGTAATAAAGCACACACATCAGGCAATGCTAAGCGAATGTATTTTTACATTTGATAGGCGTCTAGTCCAAGATCTCTGTGGCCCAATCACATTAAACATTTAGAATGAGCCTAAATCCCTCGTTTCAAACTGAAATGGAAAATTTGCTTAATTACTGTAAACCCCATTAAACCAATCTTCTTTATAAAGTAGAAGACGTCCGACCTCTGAGGGCTGTGGAGGGTATAATGAATGCAGAGTTTAATTAGGGCACACTGTTGGCTGACTATAATCTATTAATTAGCATTCTCTGTCTCTGTGGCTCATTCCAGTGTTCACTTTACTTTAAAATTGCACCCTTCGTTTTTTTTTTGGACCAAAGTTATACAATTTTAGGATTGTGTTGTAATTATAGTGGGTGCAGGAAGAAAAAACTCCTGCCAGAATTGGTGTTTAATTAGGGCAAGGGGTGGAATCTAGATAAGGCAATGTTTGCTCTTCTTCAGCACATATGGGTTTTTTGGCATCATCATCCTCTGGACTGTTTCACTTCCATTGGACAAATTGCTGAGTATTTGCTATTGTCTTTTCAGAATATTCAAATATTTTGCTCTTGAATGCAGCTGCATAATTAGAAATTGTCCCTGACTACACACACATACACACACACACACACACACACAGTCCTTTTTAACTACAGGTATAAATAGTTGCTTCAATTATTTCAAAATAAAGAAGTACAACAATTTCACCCCTCATTAAAACGGACATTTCTGAGTCATCTGATAATAACATCTTAATAATGGGCATATTTCCAGCATCACCAGCCAACTCACTGGAGGCTGATTCAACATATACCAAATTACCTTAAAAAGGAAAACATACTGGCAATCTCTTCCTGAAAGGTAAAACACTGCCATCAAGTCGATTCTCACTCACAGACGTCCTAGAAGACAGATGAGAACCGCTCCGGAGCGTTCAAGAGTTTTCTTAAATGAGCAAATAACTCAAGCTCATACGGTGTTAACATGTCTCGTGTTTCCGATTTTAACTACTGAAACTTGGATTAATCAAATCTTTAGTCATAACATAGGTCACGGAATGTGACTCACCTATTACTGAACAGCAACTGTAAGCTGGAAAAGTGCAGACAAAAAAACAAATGTTGCACATACATAATACGATAGCATTAGTTTATAATAATTTATTAATTCCATTACATTCTAGAACCAACCATATCAAGTTGCCTTTCCAGCACCCTAAATATAAAAAATTAAAGAATCCAAAGAAAACAGCTACATAAGTGTCCTTCATGATATCATCATACCTTAATAAATGTCCATAGAAAACACTGCTACTCATTTGCTGGTAATTAATAAATATATACATCATCAATATATAACTTTCTAAGATTAATTTTCTTTCTGCAAAGAAAAAACAGTGATTTGTCTTTTGGTAGTTTTTTGTTGTAATTGACTATTGGTATTTATTATGGAAAACTTTAAATACTACACCACATGCCTCAGTAATTTTGGTAATCGATGCTACTGTGGGGGGGATTATATTCTCACAAGAACTGAAAGACATTAAAATGGGCTGAAAGCCAGACAGGAAAGAGCTGGAATGGAGAACAAGCTGACAAAGCAAACAGGGAGAAGAAAATAGGGCACCAAATCTGTAATATGCTGAGAAAAAGAGGACAGAAAAGATATAATAAGAAAATGTTAAATAATGATCTAAGAAAGGAAAATCCGAAGGAAGAAGGAAAAAAACAGCAATGACTCACATCATTCAGATATCTGAATCCAGCCAATACAGGGTGACATATATATAACTAACCTGGTTTTCATCTTGCACAGCTCTATACTGTTCCTTCCAAACGGTGATTTTGGAAGCTTCGTCTTTTCTCAGAGCTCGTTCTTTCTTCAGCTCTGGGCTCCAGAAGGTCTTGATGCTATTCATTGATGAGCTCAATTTGCTCTCCTTTACCTCTACATCCTTCCGCAAGAGATCATTTTCCCTTAATACTTCTTTCAGCTGTGTCTGCAGATCCATGATTGTGTTGTCTCTTGCCTGACGAAGAGAGTGAGGGACAGTAGATGCCATACTCACAGGAGGGAGGTGATGCTCTCCAAATGCTATGGCGTCACTAGCAACCCCACTGCTAGCTATATTGGGGCTACTGCCCATAGCTGTCATCCTGACACCGTAAGGCAGACGTCCTCCCGAACGGCCGAGTGTCATGGTGCTTTTAGGGGGTTCTGAACCCACATTTTCATGATCACTTAGATACATAGGACCAGATGTGGCATAGGCAGCATTTAAGGACTGGATGTTCTCCATTGAAAGGGTTTTCCCACTGCCACCTCCAACACTGCCTCCAGAACTACCCCCTGTACTATTGGTTCGACGATGACCCAAGCGAGGGGATCGTGGCAGCCTCGGTGAACGCCCAGGGCTCTGGTTGCTTGGCTCCACCTTCCCAACTGAGCGAGCACTTCCATACATGGTTGCACGGTGAGCTTCGGTGCCAGGAAAGGTGTAAAAGCAGACAAACAAAATCGGACTCCGTGAAGTTTCTCTATGGCTATAAGTCAGCTTAAGGCTAATCAAAAATAACAGGTCCTCAGCTGTCCAATCTTGAAGAAATATCTTACGCCATATCTGTAATGAAAAGATCACACATTAAATCCTCAATAGAAACTTTTCATTAACCCCACTTGAAAATGATCTCCCCCTTCTAACATCTATGTATTCCTGCACTCACAATTTAATTACAGCACAATTTATGTGTAGAAAAGACTATTTAGAAAATATTTTAGCCTCAAAAGTGAATCCCAAAAACATATACTATGCAACTAGAAGAGAAAAACAAGAGGCATAAAAATAGATGAGGAAGACAGAAAACTCGATCTTCATGCATATATGATTTTCCCACTGGAAAACCTATGATCAACAGTCCTGTTACACAAGCTAAAATCAGAACTCAACAAGTTGATCTGAAACAAGATAAATATATAAATATTAATCCTTTCCTGTATGTTACTAATAGCAATTTAAAGTTTCAATTAAAATAATTCATACTGGCCACAAAACCATTTAAACGCTTTGGTATAAATGTAACAAAAACATGCGATCATTGTGGGGGGGGAAAGAACTACAAAATGTAACTGAAACACATGAAAGAGTCCTGGAGCAAAATCCATATTCATGGACAAGAAGACCAGTACTGTGAAAGTTCTCCCCTCTTCCAACCACTTACAACAATCCCAATGAAGATCTCTCGACGCTTCAACAAATAAATCAACAAAGTGACTCAAAAATTCAAATGCAGGCAGTAAAGGACCATAAATTACCTAAACAATTGGAAGAAGAGTAACAAACAAAAAAGACATGCCCTAATAGCAAGGCTCCTCAATGTCATTTGCAATGAGCGCTGGTGGTGTAGCAGGTTATGCCTGGGCCAGTGGTGTGAAACCACCAGCAGCCACACGGGAGAAAGATGAGATTTTCTGCTCCCAGAAAGATTCCAATTCTCTCCTATCTGAGAAAACGCCAATCCATGCCAAATCGAATCACTGAGCTACTGCCAGTAATGTTACTATAGATATACCATACATACTCGTGCATAAGCCAAGTTTTTCAGCACATTTTTTTATGAAGTTTTTGTGGTAAAATTAGGTGCCTCAGCTGATATTCGGGTCGGTTATACTTGAACATATACAGTAATCCTATCACAGACACCACTGTACTTCAAAAGAGATCTTGAAATGTCCTTTTTGATGATGCTATGCCACTCTTCTATGACTGTCATTCCTAGCAAAGCAAGCCGTGATTTTCTGATTCAAAATGGCCAATACCAGTCCATTTCAGCTCACTACTGCTTAGAATTGATCTTTATGCATTCTAGTTCATTTTTTATGGCTTCTAACTCTCCTAGATTCATATATTTTGTCTAATCCAAAGTCCAATTATTAGTAGATTTTTCCAGCTGTGTCTTCTCATTTGGGGGTCGTGCCCCATCAGCAAATGAAGGTCGCAAGGCTTTACTCCATTCACGTTATCATGACTGACTCTACTTTGAGAACACAGCTCTTCCTCAGTCATATTGTGAGTGCTTTCTGACCTGACAGATTCATCCTTTAGCACTAGCTAGTGATGTTCATTGGCCTTTCGGTATCTGACAGTGTTCCAGAACAGCCAGAATGCTCCTTAGAGGCAAGGATGGCAAGGCTTTGTTCATGTACTTTGGACATGTTATCAGGAGAGATCGGTCCTTGGGGAAGGGCACATGCGTGGTGAAGTTGAGGGGCAGTAAAAAGAGGGAGCCCTCGACAAGATGGATTGACACAAGGGGCTCAAACATAAGAACTGCGAGGATGGTGCAGGACAGGGCAGTGTTTTATTCCGTGGTAGTTGCTATGGGTCAGAACATACTCAATGGCACCTAACAGCAATGGTAGAAAGTTCCTTTTGGAGACAAACCTGGTTCATGAAGCAAAAATTTATTTTAATGAATAATCTTGAGTGTAAGTAACACTGCACACGTTAAGTTTAATTCTATTTCAAAATTCAAAGAATGCAAAATTGTTTTATAACGTAAACTGAATGTTGTTTAAAATAATGTATCCATCATTACCTAAAATCCTTTGAATGATAGCAAAAGCTACTATTCAGAGAGTGCTAATTATATGCCAGCCATTGTGCTATGAGTCCTGAAAGATTTATTATTTACAATCCTCCTACAGCATAGTGGCACCATCTCTATTTTACAGATGAAGAAATTGAACTATATAGAGATTCAGTGATATATCTAGTTATTAAGTTACAAATTAATAAATTCAGTTACAAATTCAGAATTAGGGTGGCCTGACTCCAGAGTCTTTAAGGTTTTTTGTATAGCACATACTATCTGCATCTTTTCTTTTTAAAGCAGTGTATCCTGCTAATCTAGCAGTCTAAATCTAAACTTGAGGGTATAAACTTGGGTTTTCCAAGTGGTAAAATGTAAATAACCTTTTTCTGTCTATAAGTAGAAGAAACCCTTTTTTTTGAGATGGTAAAAGGACAAAATAAGTAAAACTGACAAAATAAAGAGTAGTAATTTAAAACAAACTTTTTAAGAACCACATAAAACATTCCAAGAGTGCTCTTGTGCAGAACTCATTTTCATGAAATCACGTTAACTTAATCACACTGGACAGGCTAAGTTCACATTTGGCTCATAGCAGTGCTCAGCATTAGCAAGATCACCCATGCTCAAGTCACCTTCAGATCCAAAATGTCATTTGCATATGGAGTCCTCCTCATTATTAGAACTACATTCACTTAAAAAACAGGGAAAGGAAATCCACAAGCTCAGACTGAAGCCCTCTGTCATGGAAAGCACAGTAATTATTATTTTGTGGTTGTGTGTCAATAGTATGTAGTAATAATTCTTGGACTTAAAAAACAATTTGACAAAAAAAAATTTTTTTTACCAAAAAACACAATTAGGAGGTTTCAACAAGTTCATGAAAAAACAGTATTAAAAGGTAATGGAATTCTCTTCCATGAGCTATTTGAAGCCTCCTTAAGCAGTATAATCCCATTTATACAAAATCTAGAAACTGTCAGTGGTTACCGGGGACAGATGGGAAGGAGGCATGGATCATGAAAGAAAAGGAGGAAACTATTGGGGTGGGTGTTGGGGGGTAATAAACATATTCATTACATTGATTGGGGAGATGGTAGATACATGTCTCAAAACTCACCAAACTATAAACTTTACTAAAAAGCGAATAGTGTATATTATATACTAAATAATGTATATTATATTCTAAAAAGTGTCTATCAATTATACCACAAACATTTGAAATTTTCACACATTCCAAACTCCCTTGCCCTTGATTACTCCCAAAGTAACACCTTCACTGATTGGCTGCTGCTCAACAAAACCATGAAGCACTTCATAGGTTTGATTTCCAACTTCAGGTGAACCTTGAATTCTGTCTCCCAGGTTCTAAAAGTTAGTTCTCTATCCAGTATTTGTTAGCTCCCTACCCAGGATTTGTTACAGTCATTTTACACCTTCCTCTTATGCTTGTCACTTTCAGTAAATTATCTCATCCACCTCCTATATCACAGAGAAATAGAGTAAGGCAAAAACTACCTCAATTTCCTCCTGCCACAAATTTATTTAAATCACCACCCATTCTTGTTTTCTGATGGAAGGGAGTTAAGGCTAATCCCTTGCACAGGTGAATAACTTCCCATTCCCTCAAATGCCTAAAATGGGCACTGAAGTTTAGGTTTATATTACTAGATTAGCTACACTTTCTAAGAAAGAAATCTTAATTATACATTTTCCTACCTGTTAACTTTGTCCCTTCTGTATATAAATATAGTCTCCCACTTCAAGCACTCCCTACTTCTTGAAACACTTCTTCCCTTGGTTTCTGTTCTATCACACTCTCCTGCCTTCTAGTTCTACCCCTTTGTACATTCTTCCCTTAAATGTTTGTCATCCTAAGAATTATATAACCACTTCCATATTATTTTCATCCTAAATATTATTGTTGTTGCTGTTAGATACCGTCCAGTCGATTCTGCCTCATAGTGATCCTAAGTGAACAAAACAAACCACCAGCCACTCCTGTGCCACTTTCAGAACTGTTATTTTTGAGTCCCTCTATGCACCCACTGTGTCAATCCATCTCCTCAAGGGGCTCCCTCTTTCTCACTGCCCCTGCACTTTACCAAGCATGAAGTACTTCTCCGGGGACTGCTCTCTCCTGATAATATGTCCAAAGTACTTGGGACTACAATATTATACTTGAAAAGCTATGGCTGCTTTTCCCATAGCTTCAAGTATCATCTATATGATGATGTCAAATTTCTACCTCCAGCCTTCATCTTCCCTTTTGACCACCAGAACCATTCCAGTGCCTAGTTCTCTCCACTTACACATGTCACCTGCACTCACTCATCACGCTTCCACGTCTGTTCCAGCAACAGGAAACAGGAAAGAACATGGTGGTGTACTCCTGCCACCGTGAATATAGGGCTCCAGCTGCTCAAGCCAGAGACCTACAGCTCCCTCATCCTGTACATGTCATCAATTATTAAACTGTACATCCACTTAGCTTCAGCAGCTCTCACGTCAACTTCTTCCTCCATTCCCACAATTACCTTGGTGTAGGCCATTAAACCCCATCTGAATTATAGCAACTGTCTAACCTCTTGCCTATGTCCACTAATCGATGTTTGTTTGTGTCGTTTTTTTTAAAAATGTGGGTCATGACCCATTAGGAGGTTGTGAAATCAGTTTGATGAGTTGCAATATACTTATTTCCTTTTAAAAATAAAATAATATAAATAAGAGTCCCTCTATGGGTTATTGTCAGAGTACATTACTATGAGGTCAAGGTATAAATTGTCAAGAAGGGTCTAGGATTTTATTTTACCCTACTTACAAGTTAATACTTGTTCCTAAGTACTGCAGAGAAATAGAAGACCGGACGAAGAACTTTATTATTCGCAGCACACCAGCAGCATGAGCTAACAGCTTACTTGCACAGGTTCCCTGTTGACCCCAAGGCTCTCAAGGCAACACTGGAGGGCCCAAATGGATGCTACACAAGCAGTGTTTCTGCCACACGTCTGGGGTGGGTGTGTGTGT